TCTTAAGACATTTTTATTCAGACAGGCTTTTAGTTAAGTGCTTTTTATTGTGTTTTAATTGTTGTTTTTATATCTGTGATCGGTTTTATTGTTTTTAATTATTTTTGCTTTCTGTGAAGCACTTTGTGATGTTTGTGTCTGTGAAAGGTGCTATAGAAATAAAGTTTACTTACTTACTTACTTAGTTACTTAAAAACCCTTTCTCATAATTGGAGTCACCTGTGTATGGAGGTCAAGGGTCAATGAACTTACCAAACAAAATTTGAGTCCCAATAATTAGTTCTAAAGGTTTTGAAATCAATAAAATGACAACAGTGCCCAAATTTAAGCACCTGCCTAATTTTGTTTTACCAATTATTGCACACTTTCTGAAAATCATATAAACTTCATTTCACTTCTCAAATATCACTGTGTTTGTCCCCTATAATCAATGATTTATAAAGGTAAATCAAGATAATTAACAAGGCTGCCCAAACTTTTGCACCCCACTGTATGTAGATACAGTTAGAGAAGACAGGGGATGCAGAGGGCAGAGTGAAATGGAGGAGGATGACTCGTTGTGGTAACGCCTAAAGAGGGAATAAAAACCTGGAGGAGAGCAGTTCAAAGAAAGCTTAAATATCATCATCTGTTTTTGCTTGGGAGCGCTTTACCTTGGAACCTGGAGGAGCAGTCAGACCCAGAAATGCGTACACAGCATTGTCCTCTCTGGCATCAAAGAAGGCCTCGTAATCCTGAAAAAAATAAAATAATAAAAATTAATTGATCAGCTCACTTAAATCTTAAATTCAGAACCATTCTGTGAATATGTGCCCTAGATGCAGTCAGAGAAGTTATTTGTCTAAAAGAAAGGTTTCAATTTGAAAGGAGGACATTGTGTTAAAGAATGCAACCAAAGTGTCGACTAACAAACTCCCCTTTTGCTATTTCTGAGTTGCTCTTATTACTAATCATCACTCCTTCCTCTTGTTTTCTCCCACTCACTCAAACACACCCAACAGCTGCAAAAATGCTGGGTGTCATTGTTCTCTTTGTGACATTCAATACATCATCCTACCACCCATTTGCTGCTCAGCATGATGCTATGCTAAATGCTAACAGCCTGTGAGCTTAGCTTATTCCAAGGCATTTGCATTGGAGTTGGTGGATTAGTAAGACTGTAGGTAGATGTTAAAAATGCTGAGGTAAGAGTTTAAATTTCTAAACTTCACCAACACTACTATGTAGATTAGATGTTTATGTTAAAAATGCCCAGTGAGATGCCTGCTGTTGCATATATATATAT